ACCTCCCACAATTTTGCTATTTTCTCTTAAACTTGTTCATATTTGGACACTTCTACTGTCACAACCATAACATGTCAACACCATCTCTTTTGTATAAAAAATATTAGATAAGATTATGACATAAATGTATACTTTTTAAGAAGAGGTCTGCAAGAGGGCAAACAAGATGGCTAATGTGAATAACTCAAGCCTGTGAAAGAGTAGGTTTTTGTCAGCACCGTCAGACGTCACTATACCCTCAGGTTTTGTCTGATGGTGGTGACAAAAACCTCCAAATGGTCCTTAACGTTGGCTAGAATAAAATTGTTGATCACAAAAAAATACCAATATGACCTGTAAAGTTTCATTAACCTCATTAACCTTAATATTCTTATCTAATACTTATTAAATACATTGCATGCTACTATTAAGCAATATAGTGTGAGTGAGAGTGAGCATATCCATGAACAGTCTCACGAACACAAGCAAATAGTTAAAGTGGTTAAGCAAGAAGCCATTGACTTGAAAGGAATCAATGTTAGAATTGTATGTTGTAATGAGGCCACTGTCACCACCGTCAGTGCTAAAGTCAAGTGCTGTTGAGTTATTAAAGTAATAGTCTCTTTTTAATACAAAGAAATATGTTTGTTAAATAAAAAAACATTACTTTTATATTTGTTATATCTTTTAAAGGGGTACTCCTGAAACAGTATAAAAAAAACGAACAAAAGTGAATATTCAACATTTAACAGCTATGTGTACTAAGAATGCCAGATAATGATTTAAAAACTCTAAATACATATTTGACCAAATAAATAAAAATTAATTAGCTTTTTTTGTGTGTATGTGTCTGAAGGTAACACAAAAACAAAGTAATAACTGAAAAAAAATTGCCTATTTTATGAAATAAAAATAAAAATGAGTAGGTTGCACCGGTATAATAATATATATCAGATAATAATATATATCAGATTTTGTAATTTAACTAATTAAAACCTGTTTTATCCAAATTCCCAAAAATCAGTGACGTGCACTTTTAAAATGCCAAAACTTTCGTTTTCATTTGAATACCCTTTCATTTTCTTTGTGTGCGTGTACGTTGCTCGACCACATTCAGGAGTATGAGGAGGATTTCCTCATTTGTAAATACAGTATAAAAATAAAGTTAAAACATTTTTTATTGTAACAATGTTTATACTGTGCTCAAAAATATATAGATAGCTATAGACCTTTTATGCACCAGAGAAATGTGGGCGCCGTCATCTTTAGAATATTGTCTTTGAACTTCCGGTTTCGCGGTCGCTCTGTATATTTCGATGGCATCGCTGTCGAGGAGTATGAAGTGGATTTACTTATTGTAGAGTTGACAAAAGTTATCAGGAGCATTGTAATGTTTATCATAAGCATTGTAAAGCAGATGTCTTAACAAATGTCGAGCAGGAATTTTTTTACGACCATTTCATTCATACCTGCAAGATCGCTGTGAAAATACAGACCTCGAAGTCAAAAGACAACGAGCGCAACGCTGAAAAGGGGCGGGGCTACATAAGGTCTATATCCAATAATAATGCTAATGACAATGGTGCTGTGAGAGTTACCAATATGTGTTTGATGATTCAGTAGATGTTTGATCATTTTAAGTTTGCTTCTTTAGATTTGACTTTTGTGGCTTTAAACACTTGGTCTGACTACACCTGTTAAAACAACAGCTTGATGTTTATTTACCAGTCATGTTTATCTAACATGTTCAGCTACCTACGTCAGACATACCAATGAGCACGCATGTGAGCATGAACAGCATCAGCACAGCCAATGAGAATGATCCTCTTTGCTGACTGTCATTCACATTGTCACTTATTGAACTTGTTAAACTGAAGGCCACGCACTCTTTCCAGTCAAGTTCTCAAAATTCCCCTAAAATAAAAAACAAATAAAAAAACTGAACAGGTTTAAGGAAATCTTAAGTAGAAAGATTTGTTCCAAATAATAGATTAGTTATATTATTATAATGATATCATTATAGCCTAGAGTGACAATTAACGCCTTCTTCGAGGAAACATTACGCACAATAAGGAAGTATACGCTTGAAATGATCAATTTAAAAATGAATATTTGGTTGTCAAATGTCACACTGGATAAACATAAAAAAACAAAATGGCTTTTTCTAGTGCTGTCAAATCAATGAAATTGTGAAAAAGTTTGTGTGAATATATGTAAACATTTTATGTTAGATGTGTTTAATCGATTTGACAGCATTAGCTATTTCATTTGAGCCTGAGAAAAGCTCCAACATCATTTGTTTGCTGATGCCACCCACGTTTTGATATTTTTTATTGAATGCAATGACATTTTTATATGTACATTGAAATAGTGAATACATTAAAAGTGAATCATATTAAACTTAATCTATAGTAATTAAAAAGTAGAGATTTAGCATAAGGATGTAATACTTATGTGTATTCAATTTCATAAGTCAGACTAAGATTCAAGCAGATATATTTTGTGAGTTTTATGAGTTTTCTAATAAACTGCCTTGAAGCTCTCTGGCATGAAGCACATTTTGTACAGAATGGGAATGTTGTAGTGACGCAGGACTTTAAAAATTTGTCTTTGTATACGACTTTTTTACAGTGCTCAAATAACTTCATTGGAAAATAGTGCAAAAGGAAGCCAAGAATACATGACTGTTAAACTAGACCTAACCTTAGTCACCAAGATAGCTCCTTTACAATTTGAAGACATCAAACAAAATTCAGCTGCTTAATAAAGGGAATAAAGATAAATATTTTCTAATGTAAGAATACTCCAATAAAACATTTGGCTGGACTTTCTGAGAGATTAATAAAATACCTGCATGAAAAATCATAACTTAACTTAAAAGCTTAAAAACTTAAAGCTGTTTTGAAAAAAAAAAAAATAAGTAAAGAAATAACCTCTGTAAAAATCAAAAGCCAATAAAAAATAAATAAAAAGAAACTAATAATTTACGAAGTTGAGAGATTTTCATCATTAATAAGTATCTTTATTTGTATTTCCTTGTTTCTTTGTTTTCATTAGTGTCTCTTCAAGTACACACTTCCTTGTAGTCAAAAACATTCTGAATGTGATTCTAAGGCAAGTTAGAATTAAGTTTAGGAATTTTCTTTTATTTGGTTTGGCGAGATATACAAGTCGTGAATGGCATTCATAGGTCAATTAAAACCATTTTAAGTGATTTTTACATATAACACACACCATAATATGTTCCTTAAAAGAATACTCCACCCAAACATGAAAATTCTGTCATCATTTAATCACCCTCAAGTTGTTACAAGAAGTTTCTTTGTTCTGATGAACACAAAGGAATGTATTTTGAAGAACGATTGGAACCAAACTGTTGTTTGGCAGCATTGACTTCTATTGTGGAAAATAAATAAATAAATAAAACTATGGAAGTCAATCGTGCCAACTGTTTGGTTTCAATCATTCTTCATAATACATTCATTTGTGTTCAGCAGAAGAAAGAAACTCATACAGGTTTGCAACAACTTGAGGGGTGAGTAAATGATGACAGAATTTTCATGTTTGGATGGAGTATCCCTTTAAACTTTTTCTTTTCTTCTTTTTTTCTGCTGTGTGAACACAGGCAGCAACACCATCTAGTGTTTCTAAAAGGTGCTACTTCCCTGGCCCAAGCCAACATTAGCTGAGATAATATTTTAGCATAAATCATCTCTTGTTATTGCCCCCAACAAAAATTATAGCAATCGCCCTGATGAGAATGAGCAATATGAGGCTATATCTCGATTTGCTGTTTGAAAGGTTTGCCTCGCTTCACATTTGCATTTGTCAACTTCATAGTCAAATTTGCAGCTTCATCAAATAAAATGTCACTAATACTCATAAATAGCCAACAAATACATGTGTCTTGGTCCGAAGAGCACCCTTGTCAGTATGAGTTGCAAATAATTTAGCAGTAAGAGATTTCTATAGGATTTAAAGAGGATCTATATGCTTTTTTACATTGTCAACTTTCTTTAGTGTTTGAGCATTAAAAAAGCACAAAGTCACTTCAAAAGGAGTTATTCTCTATATCATATGCACTTTAGCCAACTGTGGTCGCAAATCCCATTGTTATCAGCATTGTTCAATGAGTCAGTGTTTCCCGAAAGCCAGTTCTAACAAACATTCGCAAACAGCATTGCAAAGTTGTGTTGTTAGAACGACAGCTCTCGAGCTGTGGCTTTAAGCGTAGTTAAACAAGAGTTTGCCTGACATGTGGACTTAATCCTTGTCTTGAGCAAAATAAGCAAGCTGACATTCAGTGCAATCTGTGTCTTTTATTTAGAATACATACAAATGTCATTTAGTTTGTCAAGAGATTTAAAGCACAGTTTGTGAAGAGTGTGCATGTCCAAACGTGCTTAAAGGAGTAGTTTACTTTAAAAAAAACATTTGCTGATAATTTACTCACCCCCATGTCATCCAAGATGTCCATGTCTTTCTTTCTTCAGTTGAAAAGAAATTAAGGTTTTTGATGAAAACATTCCAGGATTTCCCTCCATATAATGGACTTCAATGGGAACCAAATGGTTCAAGGTCCAAAAGACACTTTCAGTGCAAACTGTTCAAAGGGCTTTAAACGATTGCAGACGATGAATAAGGGTCTAATAAAGCGAAACAATCGGTCATTTAAAAAACAAAAAAAAACAAAGTTTAAGTTTTATAAGCTCAAATTCGTTCATCAAAATGAACTAATCTTTTCCCTAGTCGTTCATTTTGATAAACAATGTTTGAACAGAAGAGTCACAAACGCGCATCACAGAATAGAGCAAGGCGAACATTTGAGCTTATAAAACTTTTTTTTTTTAAATGAGCGATCGTTTCGCTTGATAAGACACTTGTCTGGAATCGTTTAAAGCCCTTTGAACAGTTTGCAGTTTGCACTGAAACTGTCATTTGGACCTTGAACCGTTTGGTACCCACTGAAGTCCATTATATGGAATCCTGAAGAAAGAAAGACATGGACATCTTGGATGAAATGGGGGTGAGTAAATTATCAGCAAAAGTTTTTTTTTTTTTTTTTTTTAAGTGAACTACTCCTTTAACCACGTAAGAACGAGCCTATGATTTAATCTGGAAATTTGAAATAGTCCTCAGATGCCGTGTCTGTAATTTATAACAAAACGTCTAGCATTAATTCGATCTCAACAGATTCGTTAAAAGTAGTCCTTCACCACCAGCATAACATCATTAACCAACGTGGTTGAAAGACCAATTTGCGACAATGTGGTGTCGTGACTAGTTGATTTCTTCAACGATACAACGTACTATGGTAGTTAAGCAGCGAGTTACGACTCTGTACAGGAAACGCACCCCAGAGCATTACTCAAAACCCGCAACAATGTAAAATATGTGAAAAATGATGATTTTTTTAAAATGAACATTCAAGATTGAAAAATTATTTTAGAAGACTCCAAAAACAAAAGCAAGACTTTGTAAAAAGGCATAATATGTCCTCTTTAAAATTACCTTCCTTGCAGGGAGTCCAGTGTCTTTGTCTTGGTCTAGCATATTTTCTTTATATAACAAGATCAAAACAATAACTTAAAAAAAAAAAAATATATATATATATATACTGTATAATCATGAATACAGTGTATATGCACATGATTAAACATAGATTATTTTCTTCAGACATTCACAACCCTTATGTGGTTCAGTTAGCACTTGGCAAAATAAGTAGAGTGTTCTTGAAATACACTTTAAATTCAATACATTATCAAGGTGAACCAAACAAAAACTTTTTTTTTTCATTTTGTGGCTAGTGTAAAATTCTAGAGTGAATGTTAGTGAATATCTACTCATACCAAACAGCAGAGAAAAGCGGAACTAAGTTGAACTTCTGACTTATTTTATCATAGGCCAGAAGCATTGGTATTGATTTTATCTTTAAATAGCTTTTTAATTCAGTTCTGTTGTAATAGTAACCCATTACCTTTACAATTCTGTTAGTTAAACAATTCAACTAAATATGTGATTCCATTAGCAGATGTGATAAGTAGCCTCTATAACGGAGGCTCTATTTTTAAATCAGTTGAAACTGATCCTACAGGATAGGGGTGAGATGGTTCACATGTGCATTAATTTCGGTTTATTCTTATCATTTACACAAAGCAAACTGGTTTCTTCGTGTCATTATTTTGTGTGTTTTTCATCACCAACACACCGCACTCCATTAAGTAGCATTGGTGTCCCGTGGTGGCGCTCTGTGAAAGACAATAGGTGATTTATTATTTTAGTGGAGGGACATTTTTCCATTTACAAATTAATTCTCACGATGTTATAATCAAATTGATCCGTTTGGGGCTTTTTTAAATAAAAATCTAATTCAGAATCCATTCTACAAAATATGACCAAAAATAGTAATATTACCAATTCTGGTGTTGTTTCCCCAAGCAGACTAGAAAGTTTAGAGTTTTGGCTTACGTGTGTGAATAATATTTTGGAAACACTTTACAATGAGGTTACATTTGTTAGCATAAGCTAACTATAATAGATAGACATAATTAGCATAATAGATAATTAGACTGCTTTACGTCAAGCGCTACAATAGTCATTATTTTCGTTTTTCTTCGTTTCTGATGTCGCAATACATCATCCTTTCATGAAATCATGTAACATACTCTACCTTGTCTGTGGACATTGTTCATTCCAAAGCCGGTGCTCAGTAAACAACGAACGTGTGTGCGACGGTAGGCTGTGGTTGGCTAAATAATTTACGACAGCGGTAATGGACAATTTCGTTTCCAACCAGTAGGGCGACCAAAGAAGAAAAGTTCCATGGTGTTGCTTTAATAATTCTTTTATTAAAATGAACTAACTATTTATTAATATATTGCTCATTGTTAGGTCATGTTAATTAAACTGCTTTTTTCGGATATTACCTTCTTATATAGTGTAATTTAGCTGTTTGTGAATGTAAAAGGTCTACAGAGTTTCAAAGATCACGACAAATGGTCTAAAAGGATTCATCGGTAACTCCAGTCTTGCTTCCGGCAAGCTATAAAGGTTTTTAATAGATTTGCATAATGCCTGCCAATGGTCTTCATTGACTGCCCGCGAACAACATCTCCTTTGACCTGCCCTCAAACACTGTAGTTGTAGCCGAGGCCTGGTAAATTTTGATTCATATTGTCGACATGCCTGGAAATCCACTTTGCATGCACTTCCAAAGGATTTGGAATCGGGCTTGAACTGAAGCTGATCCCATATACTGTTCGTCTCACTGTGTGTGTGTGTATATCAAGCGATAAGGAAGCTTCCAGAGCTGAAATTCAGATATGGTAATGGATGTTTCGTTTCCGACATGCACTGTAAGCAGTAGACCAATCACAACAGACTGGGCCATCTGGCCAATCAGAGCAGAGCAACTCTTGGAAAGGAGCATAATAGGGAAAATTGAATGCATTAACTAATGGTTAAAAAATGAAACCTTATTGTAAAGTGTTACCAGCATTATTGTCACTTCATTTCATTTCTTTTTTAATACAATTTCTTATCCCTGCTTAATATTCAGAGATAGCTACTGGTCCAAAAACGACACACTGGACTTCACCTCATGAAAACTCTGTTGTGAACGACTAGAGATCTGTCAGAATTTTATGTGTGTAGAGAGTGTATCTCACCCATAACCCTGGCCTGTAATCTAACTCGAATGCTGCTGTCCCTTCTGCTCCTGTTGACCAGGGTGAGTTCCTCCTGCACCACTCCCTCCTGCTGAGCGCTGTACTCACAAACCACCCGCACTCCCCCTTAAAAGAGCAGAGAAAGACGGAAGCCAATGGGTGCGATGGATACAGAGAGCGGTACAATGACATCACAAAATAACAGGGACAATAAAAAAGATAAGCGAAAGTAAAAGTATCAGTGACCAGCGTAAGATTGGGGATCGAAATCATTATAGAGAAATAATAATCTGAGTGCAGAGTGCTTGCATCTTCTTTTAGAATGTAAATTGTGTTCTCGGATTTGGCAATCCTTCCAAGAATTCCCTAGAGATTCAACTATGGGAAAAATGAAACCACTAAACGCACTAAGTGTGTTTCAGCTAAAGGAGAGTATGATGACGGATTGAAATAGAAGTGTGGCTATTGATCGTAACATGACGTCTTACATTTGGCTTGATGTTCTATTACCTGTCAGGGATACAAACAATCTTTCATCCACATTTACTGCTCTGATAGTGCTACTTACACTACTGGTCAAAAGTTTGGAATAATTAAGCCTTTTGCACATTATATATAAACTTCAATGGGAACCAAATGGTTCTACATTTTTTTTACATTTACATTTCCAAAGATTTCTTTTGCCATTAATTGTAATAATCCAGTGAGATTTCTGAATGCACAAGGAGTCTGAAAGAACATGAAGAAACTGAAAAAACTGACTAAATCCAGAAGAACTGTAGTAAAGTCTCCAATATGCTTGAAAAAGCCTACTGTAAAAAGTTTTTGGCGTTGTGTAAAAAAGTGAGGATTCTTTCAAAAATAATGTCATAAATTGATTTGAATTATCAGTTGACTTCTATTAACTGAATCAAATCCATATTTGGTGTGACCCTTTGCTTTTAAAACAGGTTTTTTTCCCAGCTACACTTGCACACAGTTTTTAGTTTTGCAGGCAGGTTTCTTCAAGTCTTGGAGAGATTCCCAGATTCTTCTGGATTTAATCTGTCTCAGTTTCTTGTGTATCTTCATGTAATCAGACAGATTTGATGATGGTGACATCATTTCAGCTGTTCATACAGTAAACACTACAGCAAAATATATAAATCATTTTCTTAAAGCCATTTGTGTGTTAGTTTCTTGTGTGTGAAAATGTTCCTAAGCCTGCTACATATTTAGACACCTACATGGCACATATATAAGGCCTTGGGACTGAGAAAACATACTGGGGTTTACCAAGTATGGACCATTTTCATATTTTGCTCAAAGTAATAAACTACTAAAAACAAACAATGTATAGATCTAATAATCAAAACTCTCCTCATAAGCTCAAAAAGTCATTTTAAGGTTTTTGGTCATCCTCTAGCCAACTTACAAATAACAACACTGTTTATTATGAAATGCTCTTAATATACTGATTAATAATGATAAATGTAAATGTAAAAAACTTGTCACAAACCTGGTTTATTAAAGGTAATTAAAACCTGTAATTAAAGGCCCTTGTACACGTTGCGTCCGAAATTTTCGCAAGTTAAAAAATAAATACGACCTCACATTATGCCAATCACACTTGCACACTGCCTCCGAAACTTTTGTCTGTCATAAAAAAAAAAATGGACCGGGTTTGATCGCATCTGTAGCAAGCAGTTTGAATGGTGTTATAACAATTCAGAGCCACCGAATAACGAATATATGAAAAAAAATCTTTGCTTTACATCATTAGTGAGAGACAGAAAAAACATGCACAAAGCGGAAAGGGCTTGAATGAAGCGCGTTTGGCTCTAGATACAAATATTATAAGATATAATTATTGTAATAAGTGCTGAACGATCATTACCGTAAAAAAAACCATAAGCGCTTGTAGTGTGAATCGCTCCATTGTATTGACGCGATTTCATGTGAATGGTTAAGAATCTGGACAGTTTTAACAAAGGTTGCTTGTTTAATCCCAAGTAAGGCTGAGGCAGTTTCAAAATCACAATTATTGTTCATTAATATTGTGCCCCTGAGCAAGACACTTAACCCAGGTCGCTCCAATGGGACTCTGTATGTAATAAGTAGCTTCAGCCTCTTAATAGGGTTAATGTGAATATATGAACACACAAGAGAGGTAATCAGCCTTTGATAAGTGATACAATAAAAGCAGGTTTAAAACCACCACAAAAACACATACCCTCAGGGCGTGGAGTGATGTGTGTTGCACGTAGCCGTGGTTTTGCCGTAGCACGAAGCGCGGGGGAAAGGGTGACATCTTTGCCCAGTGTTGGGACTTGGGGCAAAGAAAAGACGATTTCATATTTGTGATGGCTCCTTAAAAATCCCACCTGAATAAAGAGTTAAGCAGTTAGCGATTTCAGCATGCAACACATCTTATACTGGCAATGCTATTTTTTGAGATTATAAAATGTTATTGAAATATATATCTTTTTTTCTTTGCTTGTTTTTAAGGTTTTTATAACTCAAACCTGGAGAAAATGCTTTCTTTCACCTTAACGAGATATGCACCATCAGGCTCTGGAAGAGCAACAATGAGTTTATCCTGAAGCTTTCCATCACAGCTATTGTTAATGGAAGCTTCTTCATCTTCATCAGGGAAGTGTACTCCACCTTTTGAAGTGGAGCCTGGTCAAGAGAAATAAAGGGTTGAGTTAAGATCACAGAGATGGATACTGGACCAGAAGATACATGCTGAGATGATTAATACAGGCTGCACCCGGTATGGGGGAGCTGTTAGAACAAACACACACTGAACGTGTTAGAGACGATGAGAAAGTAGAATCTTTAAATATATTAAACACATTTAGGTGAAGTCCTAATGTTCATGTCCATTATTTACACACAGACACAGACAGACATGCACACACATTAGGAACACAGAAAACACACTGACTTTTCCTTCCTGTTGCCATGTCGACATAAGGCCAGGGAAATCCAGGGATGATTATTGGCATCAATGTGATTTCATCTCCAGTAAACAGACATTGACTCACAGAGAACGAACCCTGCAGAGGAACAGAAGACGCATGTGAATCTATGATCAGTTTGTCCAACAGTTTAATGTCCTTTTATTATTTGTTTATATGTCCTGTCCATTACCCTTCCAATTGTGAAAAACTGAAACTGCGACTTGAAAATACGTCCAATGAAAACAGTAAATTTAGCAAAAAATCCCATGTCGCCAAAAAAAAATATATATATATCCACACATGAGGTGCAAATTTTCACAAAACTGCAATGGTAACAGCTAGAAAATACTAGTATTTTCACATTCATACTAGTATTTTCACCTAGGTCACTGCACATCGATCATTCTTTAAAGATGACGGAATATTTGGACAGAAGACAAGACAGAGATCTTTATTAAACTAATAAAACCCTAGTGAAAAAAGTATATGTTATTGTATTTGAAATATTTGCCTTTTTTCAATAGTACATTGCAAATATACTAACAAAAATTGTACTATCTTTAAATATATAAAAATTAGCATCATGCTTTTACCTATTTTCACAATACAGCTTTTAACATGCTTTAAAATGATTGTACTTTAGTATATTTTCTAAAAATATATTTTAGAAAAATATACTTGAAGTGAAAAAAAATTCTGTTTATTATTTAAAACAAAGTGTATTTATTTGCACTTCATTAAAAATATACTTTAGGTATAATTTAACTGTGTGCTGGACATGATCACTGTAATAATACATTGAAAATACATTAAGTATACAATACTATTTTGTACAAAGTATACAGTAGCTGTTTTATTTGTCTAATAATGTAATTATTGTATGCAATTTATATGCAATTTTCTTTATCACTGACGAAATCAGGGAACCATGAACTTTATTTTACTTTTTATTATTAGTATTGACTTGAATTGAATTGATTTTAAAGATAAAAAGCAATATGTAATCATGTAATCAATAAAAAAGTAACTGTGGTCCGATCACAAGTATTTTAAAATGTATTAAGTACTTAATTTATGGAATCTGATTATGTAATCCAGATTACATGTCATCTGGTACTACCCAGCCTGTATATACATAATTCATATTGATTTTATATTATTTATATATTTTATTCTCATGGCAAAGTGGTTATAGGCTAATATAAAAATAATTGGGAGGCCTGATAACAGGCCTCATGAGAGATAACTTGTATGATTCGCCTTATTAACCTCAGTTTACAGAGAACTAATGATGATGATATAAAGCATTACAGTTGTAGGGGACCTCCATCCTGTGGTTTTCAACCCAGTGGGACTTTCCTGCAATGTCAATGAAATGCAAATCAAGACAGCTTGTGGGATGCACAATTAATAATTTAGAAGTTGGGAAAATAACCAACATACATTTTAAAACGTATAACATTTAACATTTTATGTTGCATCTTATGGGGGGGTTAAAAATAGAAGTAAAGAAAAAATCACGCACCCATGCCAATTGATATTAACTCTAAAAAACTGACTTGGGGGAAACTGAAGCAAAATAGCCTTCTGCATGTTTGTTTTTTTTTTTTTTACTTCTGAGAATTTTACAATCTGCAGCATGAAAAAAGGTAGGCTATAAAAAAAAACATAGCCTAAAGTAAAAAATAAAAAAATATATATATATATATATATATATATATATATATAGTAAGCATTATTATTACCACACACTATTATTATTTTTATTATTATTATTTAAGTAACAATTGCATTATACAGCTGGTCACATGATCTCAGCATGGCAACACCCATGATTAAAATAAAAGATATTTCACAAAACTGTTGTTCATAAGTGTAAAACTTTTAATAATGTGTGCTCCCTAACAAAATGTTTTGGCAAATTTATAAAAATTAATATTTTAAAAGCTCTCATAATCACATCATTGCCTATTAATATGTGCCATAAATAATATACTTGGGTGTAGAACTCTTGTGTACAAACCTGCAGAGAGGTAAAGCTGTCCCTGATTGTTTCCCTGTAGATCACGCAATGCACGCAGATGGGATTCAAAACCCATCCTGATTATAGTGACCCAACAGCAATTTATCATAAAAACCTTTGGTTTAATCGGGGATATCACCAGTTCAGTCAAGGTTATTTCAGAGAATGACACTCACATTCAAACTAAAAGAGGCTTATACCGCTCTCATTCTTCCAAACCACCCCTGCAAAATCAAGTCAAATATGACGGTAAGAAAAAAGCTGCTTATGCAACATTAATCGCTCTGAAATCGGAAAGATGGGCGATGCAAATTATAGAGATGTCGATTTTTAATATGGGGCGTCCCCGAGGAACCTGGCTTTAGAGGATAAACAAAACCTTCGAAGGCAGCGCCCGACGACAAGGCATCTCTCGTTCATAATTTATTAAAGTGCAGCATCTTATGTTCTGAGTAAAAATGGGAAAACCCTGTGCGTCGCGTGCCAGTGTCCCGTATGGCACAGACAGTAAAACAACAACTCGACATTAAAACAATAGCCTAACTGGTTTAGCGAAAATGCGTGTTTTGACTATAATATCTTCATATCTATAATTATAGACTTGAACAAAATTATAAATAAACCTGGGGAAACGTCTTCTCAAGGTTACACGGCAGTTTATTACAAAAGTAATTATTCAATAACAGACCAACTATTCAGTCCCACTAAAAAAACTGAAATTCTGCAATGGGGCTTTAAACTGTGTGCGCATAGATACACATAGTTGAATATCAAAATGATACTGAAAAAAATCAAACTTACCTATCTTGAATGTACAGTAGGACCAGGTTTGTGGCGTTGCCTGACGAGCTGTGCCATCAGTCCCCTCGAACAAGTGCAGCAGGTCTGACGCTGCGCGCGCTCACAAGAGAAGAGCTGCAGCCATTGGTTACTGATGGTTACCATCTATCTGTCCTTCCTCTCTCATTTCAAATTTTTCTGTCAAGAATAGCGAAGCAACCATGGATTGAAGTTCAAGCTTAGAGCCCTAATAAAGTGTCCTGTGCAATTCTTACACCCAGCACTCCAAATGCACAATTTTAAAGTTATTTTAAAAAGTGTTTGGATGCATGATAATAACAGAATGAGAATGGTCCCATAATCAAGCTATTGCAGCTGTAAGGTTTACCCCAAATTTCTTAAAGGGATAGTTCGCTTTGAAATTAATTTTTGGTATGTTTTAGCTTACCTCAAGGGAAAAGATTAATTTGGATATTTTTGTGAAACTGTTCTTCTCTGTCAGTCATATAATGCAGGTCTATGGTCACCACCTTAAAGAGCCTGCACAGAGAAGTCTCGTAAATGTAAGTAGACTACATTGATGGCCTAAGACATGAAACGAGCGGTTTGTGTGAGAAAACAAACAGTATTTATATTGTTTTTACCTCTTGTAACCACAGCCACATCCAAGTGATCTGACAGCTGCAGTTGCTACAGGACAGCCAATGAGAACGCTTATACAGCCTGCTATGGTCTGCTGTCCGCCACACTGCATTGACATAAAAATAAGTACATACAAATATGTGTGTATGAAGGTGTAGAGAAGCCTTTTGGCAGGTTTTTTATTTTATTTTGGATGTTTACAAATTCAGTTTTTCTCTTTTTTTTTTTTTTTTTTGCCTCAGGGCAATGTTGTGCGATAAGGGGTACTTTTTAAGGATGTCTTGAACAATACTTTACAATGGCAAATAATGTCTTACAAGAAGGGAAGATGCAGGGTTCCTGGGTGCACAGGAATACCCAAAGTCACCGAAGAGACACCAGCAGAAAGGAACCATAAACTGTTCCCACAGAGATGGGAGCATGAAATTGTCCAAAATGTCTTATGGTGAAGCGTTAGGAGTTCCTTTCACTGAACCTAAGGGGCCAAACTCAACCCCTGAAAAACAACCCCACACCATAATCCCCCCTCCACCAAATTTTAGACTTGGCACAATGCAGTCAGGCAAGTACCGTTGTCCTGGCAACCGCCAAACCTAGACTCAGACAGAGAAGTGTGATTGGTCACTCCAGAGAATACGTCTCAACTGGTTCAACTGCACATTTATTTTTTGTTTTATTATAATGTACAAAACACATATTTTAACAGGATACATTTTTAAGCTTGGTTAAATACAAATTAAAAGGGAGGTTATTATGCAATCATTACTCATATAACATCACCAACCAATGTTCTATTAAGTGTCAAATTAAATTTCAATTTTAAACCTTGGCAATCTCACTAGGTATAAGATGAACTGTTTAATGTTATGTTAATTAATGTTCATATATAGAGCAATTAAGCCATATGATCACATGGATTGACAATTAAATTGAATAAAAATTAAATAATTATAATTGAAAATGATATATTTGTATAATTAGGATTGGACTTAAACAACTAAAGTAAATAAGCAAATAACCTGTGAGATATATTTCTTTGTTTCCATCCCACTATTCTTTCATTTTTCAGTCAGCCAGCTTGGGTCAGCTGGATAGGCAGGCCATATGATAAGGGGTGCCTCATTTTTGCCAGATTTGTTGGTGCATGGGCTGAAGAAAGGATATAAAGTCTCTGTAAAAGAGTCTGTGAGGGAAAATATCAGTGACTTTGTCTCTGCATTATAAAAGGACAATTGACCTTTCTCATAGTCCACACACACTCCGACACTCTGCGGTTTTGGGTTTATGTTTATAGGTGTTGGTGGTTCTGTGCGAAAGACATATTCATTCTTGTCACGTAAACTTAGGAACCAAAATCCATTAGCTGGGTTTGCGGCTATTTTTCCTTTCCTGTTGATAGAGCGGCTGGCAATGCCCAAATCCCAGTCCGTCTTCTCACCCACCAAGACCTCCCAGTAATGGCAGCCAGAGATGATACCTTGACGGCCAAGTACACACACCACACGGTCAAACCGTTCTAGTGTGTCTGGCACCATCTGGTAGCGGTCACTGCAGCGCACCTGTTTACCATCCTCAGAGATGATCAGACGTGGATGGGCTGAGTCTCGATCTAAGGTCACGTCCACTGAGCAGAGAAACAGATGAGTTGAAAACACAATGATTGCAGGAAAACAAATGAAAGTGGGGACATAAATATTTATAGTATCTTATGGGGTGCAGATAATAAAAATCCCATACTTGCATATTCCGGTACTCTCCACACTTCTATACAGTTAGAGAAAAGCAGAAGAAAAATATTAATGTAAAATAAAACATTGCAAAAATAAGTGGCTTTGTACAAGACTTACTACATAGCCACCCTAATACACAACTAATTTAGAATAATACGATTTTTTTTTAAATAGTTTTGAAAGTCTTTTATAGTCTTTTATTTCTTTTCGACCGAACCGAAGAGAGAAAGACATGAACATCTTGGATGACATGGCCGTGAGTAAATTATCAGGATATTTAAATTCTGGATAGAACTAATCCTTTAAAATCTTAAAAATGTTATGATAGTCTTGGGGAGGATGTACTGCATTTACACATACATATTATTATTTATTTTAGTAGATACTTTTACCTACAAATAATTTGTCATAAGATCCAACAATATTCGAAGTACATAATGTTTTTAAGTTTAAAGTATAAACTAGATTAGTTGTAGACATTAACCCTGGCTTTGAAAAATAGACTATATTGTAGAAAATTACAACATTACAACTTTTTTATGATTTTGCTGAAATTGGATGATGAAAAACTATTAAAAAATTGAAGAAAAAAATTACTTTGTTGATATATTTCCTGTGAGTTTTCAGTGGAAGTGTGCAAACCTGAAAGTACAACAAAACATACCATGAACATGACTGAAAAAAAGTGATGTGTGGATGCAAAGAAAAAAATGCTCTTAATATCTCAATGGTTTTAATAATGTTTGGTGAGGTGAAGAGCTATTGAAGATGTCCTCGTTTTATGTGAAATACGGGAGTGTACATTCAGTATGATGGATAGGATGTACATGTTAAATAGAATTTCAGGAAGGAACTTTCTCTTACAGATCGCTGACAGTCTCCTGAGCCTTTCCTGAACCTCCTCCACCATCCGAGTGACATTCCTCAGCACTGCCCCTGCAGTGGGGTCAGGGGTCAAGGCCACTTCTTCCCAGCTCTTTGTCACAGGTAAACTACTATAGGCTGGATATGTCTAAGAAGAAACAGCAATAAATAAAATTAGTTATATATTGGGGTATAAAATTCACAACTGACTTGACGTATTAAATTATTTAAGCTTTAATGGGTGAATATATGGGACAATTTCTTGACTTTCATTCACTAAAACATTAAAGTCTGGATTTAAATGAGACCTTGAAGAAGGTAAGGTGATCTTGGGATTGGGTTAGCTGGTTGAGGTTGCTGCATCTTTGTTTAAGTTCTGAGATCTCCGTCTGCAGCTCACGTATGAAGGCCTGAGAGCGAAGTTCGGCAGCCCGCTGTCCCATCTCCACCACCTCCAGAAGTTCAGCCTGGGACTTCTCGATAGCTTTCATCAACTCAGCAAACAAACTCACTGTTCCTACTTTCTCTTCTTCTGCAATCACCTTATAGCAAGTAAATGAGTAAATGAGAAAATAATGTAGCAGAAAACCAGATAAGAACGTTAAGAAAGACAGTTATGAGAGTAAGGAAATGCTTAAGTATAAATAAAGTATTTAAAGGCGTAGTTAATCCAAACATAAATTCTATCATCATTTACTCATCCTCTTGTCCTTTATACCCATATGACTTTCTTCTGTGTAACAAAAATGTAATATTTTGAAGAATATTCACACTCATTTTTTTCACACAATAACAGTTAATAGTGACCATGACAGTTAGGCTCCAGTGACAGAAAAAAAAAAGGATTTTGGTCTTTTGAACAATACAGATTGGTTTGTAATCAGTCAATTAATAACTGTCCCAGTGACAACTTTTGTACCATGAGTGTAGAACTTAAAATCACAATGAATTAAAAAAATATATATATATTTTATGGAATATTGAAGTGTTTAGTATAAATGATTTATCTGTGCACATCATTTGAATTTTAAAATTCATGTGCCCTCATAATCTTTAATCAAAATAACTTGACTGGTTTGGGACAACCTGTCACTCACATGACATCACAGCAATAGCAAATTCTAACCATTCAACGATCCAAATGATCCAATCAATCCAAGATGAAAAAAAAATCAAGTCCCATCCTACATTTTTTTCTTGTTCAAGAAGCCGTTTAACTCTGACATCACAATAGGATTTCAACTATTGCAACTTCCGTTTCATTCTGACTTCAACAGACAAGGTCATGTGAAGATAAACAGCATATGGGTTTGGAACAACATGAAGGTGAGCAAATAATGACAAAATTTTCATGTTTGGGTGAACTATTCCTTTAAAACGTTATGACCTAGATGCACACACTTGAATTTCTGCAAGTGATGTTTGGATCTCCTCTATCTTCCTCTCTCTGACTGAGATCAATCCTTGTAGCTCCACCTCCAAGATACGCAACTGGGACTGAGCAGAGATACGGAATGATCAAAAGGACACATACATTTATAAACATTTACACTGAGGCTGAGCCCTACCTCCATTACATTCTCACACTAACCTTCTTAATATTCATCTCTCTCTTGGCATCCATCACAGAATGCCCATTATGTTCCTTCTCTGCGCATATTATGCAAATACATGTCTGGTCAGTCTTGCAGAACAGCTCCAAACTATAGCCATGTCTGGAACACTGTGGCCCATTGGAACCTGCTCCACTCACCCCACGCACACTTAAGTTCCGTTTAGTTGTCTTGGCCGGATGGAGAGAATGAGCATCAGGGATTGCCAAAGGCTCACTGGATGGTGATCTTTGGAAGCGGCTCTTCATCTCTGGCAGTAGCCCACTGGGTAGCTCTACCAGTCTGAGCTGCCCTCCAGGCTTCGCTGCAGAGAAAGGGTTGGTGGGTAAATCTGCAGGTGCACTTCTGGGCGCGCTCATCGTGGTCTCCGCCATCCGCTTAAACTGCTCTGTGATCTCCCGGAGCGTGTGATTGATGTGGAGCTCAGGGCGCTTGCGGAAGCTTTCCTTGCACAAGGGACAGGAGCAGCTTTTTCCCTGGCCTTCCCAGTAGGAAGTGATACATGTTGAGCAGAAGCTGTGGCCGCAGGGTGTGGAGACAGGATTGGTGAAGACGTCTAGGCAAATGGAACAGGTAAACTGCTCCTCTGACAGGAATTCACCAGGAAATGACATTGTATATCTGAAAACATAGACTAATTGAAAAACAAAAAATATGCAGATACACTCAAACACGTACACAATTGTTAATACTCTGAACAAAATTAACGCAACAATTTTGTTTTTGACCCCATTTTTCATGAGCTGAGACTTTTTCTATGAACATAAAAGGCCTATTTCTCTCAAATATTGCTCACAAATCTGTGTAAATCTGTGTAAGTGAGCACTTCTCCTTTGCCGAGATAATCCATCCACCTCACAGGTGTGGCATCAAGATGTTGATTAACAGCATGATTATTGCACAGGTGTGCCTTAGCCTAGCCACATTAAAAGGTCACTCTAAAATGTGCAATTTTACTGTATTATTTACTGTGAAAAAAAAGTTGTTGATTGTGGCCTGTGGAATGTTGGTCCACTCCTCTTCAATGGCTGTGAGAAGTTGCTGGATATTGGCAGGACCTGGAACACGCTGTCATATACGCCGATCTAGAACATCCCAAACATACTCAATGCATGGGTGACATGTCCGGTGAGTATGCAGACTGGTGCAGAAGACACTGTGACAATATAAGCCCCCCTTCAAAAAGGTGTGACCTCGCGCCGTCGAACATCAACAGGGGTGGGCACCCTGAAGGCTGAATAGGGCATGGCCTAACAGGGGCAGGAAGCCTCCAGGGCAGAGTAGGGTGTGCAGGCGGGCAGGGCGGAGCAGGTGTCCGTTCAGACGTCCATGGTGGTGAAGACCCTTCGGGTGGGCATGGTGGTGAAGACCCTTTGGGTGGGCATGACAGTGAAGACCCTTCGGGCGGGCATGGCGGTGAAGACCATTCGGGCGGCCATGGCGGTGAAGACCCTTCAGGCAGGCATGACGGTGAAGACCCTTCAGGCGGCCATGGCGGAGAAGGCTTTTCTGGTTGCCGTGGGCCCCTGGGCGGCCACATCGAGGACCTATATGGACAGGCCCAGCGGTGAAGGCTCAGAACTGGACGGGACCAACGGTGAAGGCTCTGGGCTGGACGGAACCAGTGGCGATGTCATCAGCCTGAAGGAATTTAGCCACATATTCCTCAATCGGGTCGCCATCCTGGAAGCAGTGCATCAATCGATCGACTGGGTTCAAATGGTAGAGACTCTCATACTTAGTTTTTAAAGGTCGGGAGGATAAGGAGGATTCTGGGAAGTGTAGTGCAGATGAAGACAGACTGGTGCAGACGTGACACTTCCCTGTACAGTGAAAACCGGGATATATCCGTAAAGAGAACACCTCTCCAAAGTGTCAAACGCCATCGAATGTGAGCATTTGCCCACTCAAGTCGGTTACGACGACGAACTGCAGTCAGGTCGAGGCCCCAATGAGAATGACGAGCATGCAGATGAGCTTCCCTGAGACGGTTTCTGACAGTTTGTGCAGAAATTCTTTGGTTATGCAAACCGATTGTTGCAGCAGCTTTTTGGGTTGGCTAATCTCAGACGATCTTGGAGGTGAAGATGCTGGATATAGAGGTCCTGGGCTGGTGTGGTTACACATCGTCGGTGGTATGAGGCCGGTGGGACGTACTGCCAAATTCTCTGAAACGCTTTTGGATACGGCTTATGGTAGAGAAATGAACATCCAATTTAACAGCTCTGGTGGATATTCCGCCAGTCATCATGAATAAATGTGTTTGGGATGCTCTGGATCGGCGTATATGACAGCGTGTTCCAGGTCCTATCAATATCCAGCAACTTCGCACAGCCATTGAAGAGGAGTGGACCAACATTCCACAGGCCACAATCAACAACATATTTTTTTTTTTTTAAATCCTCCACCCTGGACATCGATTCTCAAAACTTGAATGGATTCCTTTAAAATGAATGTTTACCTGTCAAAGACTATTGCTAACTGAAATGTTGGAATGAAGTCAGACCAGCTACAGGTACAAGAAAGCTGATAGGAGCAGCCAACTTACCATTACATAATGTAAAAACGATCGAATGAAACATACTGTCATAAAACCCAAAAGCAAGAAAATACTCTGACGTGCTCTAGAACACCATCAATGAGTTTATCCTAAATGCAAATTAGCAGCCAATTACATGCTTCATGAATCTTCCAATACTCTATAACACTGCAGGGCTGTTTCTGACAAATAACCTCATTAAGACCATTTAAACAAAAATAATAATACATTAAAAAAATATATATAATATAAAAATGTTTTGTTTACAAAGTAACTGAAATCACATGATGTCAGTCAATTGCATGTCGTCATTTAGACATTCAGACTGGAAGTATATATATATATGTAAGGAAGAACCCAATCTTACAAAAACTTTACATACAAACACAGATAAGTATATGGAAATAAAATCTAAAAGACAAATTCACATACATAGATACTTCTAAAAAAAACTAACCTCTTTTCTGTCCGTGTCTTTTCTCGAATGTTTTTTTCTCGGTTCTCTTCCACTCCGTAAGTGGAGTGGAAAACCTCCTGGAAACAGGTGTGTCCGCATACCAACAGGCAAGTTTTTCAACACACGCACACCTGGCTGCCGATCCGACCAGTCAGACAAGTGCAGATTTTTAGTTTTAGAGATTTTAAGACTTTGATTTTTCAATCTACGTTTTAAACATTTCTACCATATTATGACACACAAATAATGTCCTGTGAGAACGTGGAGACAGCACTCAGAATAGGCCAACTGTGTGAGTTCATTGTGTGATTTTACTAAAGCTAAAAAAATAAAAAAAATAAAAAGTTAATGTTAGTGTGATGGATCACAGGGTGTAGTATTTTATTTTGTCCAGTAGGTGTCTCTAGGTAACATTTGTGTTAACATTCTAGGTTTCATTTCAAAGACTGGAGGACAGTAAATTTTGAAGACTCTGCCATAATCCCGTTTTCCTCGGTTTTCCTCCGATCTCCACAACCGGAAATGGACGAGCATCCTTGCGTCAAATGCGGAATTAGCCTATTTTAGTGATTGAAGAACAACTCGCGTGCGTTATATTATGCATAGTATCGTCTCTTACAGACAGTAGCCTATGTTGAAGCCGATCCGTCCACAATTTTCTCCCTGTTCTTGTAAATCGATGACACATTCGGAACATCCGATGGTGGGTTTTCCTGGGAATGGGTTTACTCATGGATCTATGCTTGTAAACACACTACCATGTATTTTGTAAAAACAAAAGACTTCATGGCATGACATCTGTGTCCAACACTGATAATAACAATAATCTTTTTTTATTTTTCAAAGTCTATGAAATCAGCATATTAGATGGATTTCTGAAAGATTATGCTATGTGAGACTGAATTGATCTGGTTAATCCAAGCGTTCATCAATAGGCCTATCTTAAAAAAAAGATAAACAATGAATTAACTATTATGTAGGCTATCTCTTGGTTTTAATAGTAGTATAGTCATATAAGGTAGGCTATACTATCTGTTTCTAGAAATACACACCAAGTTTTTCAACTACTAAGGCTACTTTCACAACTAGAACAAGTAAGCTAATAAAAAGAAAACAAACAGTTTATAGTGTGGTTTTTCTCCTTTCCATTTTTGTTTCTGCCTGCTGTTGAATAGTAGGCTAAATTTTGATGTACACAAACAAAAACAATGGTCGGCTCTGTCATAAGACAGAGTTTTGAATTTGTCAAGTGCATTATTATAAAAGGACATTAAGATGTAATGGATTTTATTTAAATCATGAAAATTAGCATCAATAATATCCATTATTTACCCATAACTTACAGTTTTTAACATACCTTTTATGAAATATGTTTGGGTCAATGACATGACATGCAAATTTTTGTGTCCTTGTGCATTTTCTTTGAAAATAATTTGATAATTTCATGACATGTATAGCTTTATTCTATAAAACATATTTAGTTTGAATGCATTTTTAGTACTAGCCTACATACTATTTAATGTTTTATCTCAAACCCCCAAAATGTCAGGTGGTGCAATTGTCAGGACAAATGAACAGACTGCAAAAACTATTTAAAAAAATTGTGTATTAATAATAAAACATAAAACAAAACATATAGCATCATTTTATGTTTGGAACCTTTCATAAACTTTTCACACATTTTTGGCTATATCAGTATTTTTAAAGTTGTTGAGATAATTGAAAAAAAAAAAAAAAAAAAAAAAGACTTTTGCCAAGCAATTTGATTCTCAAATGTCAGGGTGGCACAACTGCAAACATGACTAGTTTATTAAGAATTAACAAGGTAATTACAGTAAACATGATAATGCATCATCCAGACCACGAGGACCCCAATTTGTGTGGCAGAATGAAAAGGTTTGTAGATCACTCAAATATACTGGAAAAACTGCTAAATTCAAGTAGGTTACTACAATAGCCTTTCAACTACAGTATACTATCGCCTGACACGAAAACAGTATACAAAATAAATAATTTAAACATTTCTAAAATGTTATTTAAAAACTGAAACTTGTTTAAACTTGTTTTTGTAAATGAGCCTAAGGGAGAGTGCAATATGTTAACTGTAATTGTTATGTGTTCCATGGAGTATGTAATATGTAGGGCCATATAGAGAGTGTGCAATATCTGTTTGTGTTTTCTTTTTTTTTTTTTTTGCTGTCTTGTAAAGCTACGGAATGGACAGTGTCCACAACAAATTTCCCTTCGGGGACAATAAAGTATATATCAATATCTAAACGCATTGGTCATGACTCAAAAAATATCCATTACATCAGGGTCGAAAATAATATAAACAACTTTTTTTTTTTAGCTTTCTTTGTCAATGATCTTTCACTAGAGGTTACAAAGTTACATGTCCGCACTATTTTGCTCCCAAACTAGTTTGCGCCTTCAGTTTCAAAACACAACATACTCTCGCGATAACCTGGAAGTGTATGTGAGACTACGAGTCGGATATCCGGTCTCTTTTCCGTGGTGGACTCCAAGCGAGAAAGTCCTCCATAATGAAGGTAGGAGGACTGAAATTGCTATTTTATACGTTTTGTTATTCACAGTGTGGTCAAAATATCTAATGGGTTCCATTATACCATCTCATAACTATGCGATGTACTTTTCTGAATCGAGTTGGGCTCAAACAATATGAAGGATGGACGTTGATTTCGTTAGATTTGGTGTACGGCCGTTGAAGTGCGGCAAGATGGCAGCGACCAGGATAGACATGCAATGAATAAATGTGGAAGCTTTAAAGTTGCGGGTCATTAGCCACCGTTGTCGCCAATCTTGTAATTTAATTCGACGTTAGGACTCTTGTATTGAGTGTCAAACTCACACTCGCTGTTCGGTAGCATAGCATTAGCGGCTAGGTAGCAGAGACGTGTCCGACGGAGACCTCATGATTTGGGGGTAATTTGTACTAGACAAAGTAATTGTAACTGTTTGGAATTGAACAAGTATAACCTCTGAACACAGTGTAATTCTCTCTTTCCTTTTCCAATTAGCTCAATATCTCGTTCCCCGCCACTGGCTGTCAGAAGCTGATAGAAGTTGATGATGAACGCAAGCTGAGGATCTTCTATGAGAAGCGCATGGCCACAGAGGTGGTGGCAGACTCTCTGGGTGATGAGTGGAAGGTAAGTTACCAGTAGTCTATTTATTTCATCACATTGATTATGTTGTGTATTTCCAGCATTTGAATGCCTCACGTGTTGATGGTTCACGCTACAGGACATTAAAGTCTCGATTTAAAGGGTTAATGTTTGTTCACCTTCGTGTCTTTATATTTAATATTGCCTTTAATTTTTTAACTGAATTTCTATCTCTATAGAAAATGTATACACCCCAGACTGCCATTTTATTCATGCTTGAGCTTTCTTTTATCAAATTTGAATGCTCTGTATGTTCACAGATTAATGTTGTATTATATTAATGAATTAAAGCCTAATTTAAATGAGATGCTTCATTCATATGAAGTGAAAATGTCTGTTCAATCATTGGACTTATTTTGCAATCTCTTTATGATTGTTTTGAATAGTTAGGTTTTTGGGGTAATTATCTTTTAAATGAGGGACCGAAAGCTCTCAGATTTCAATAGAAAAATCTTCATTTGTGTTCTGAAGATGAATGACTTGTGGGTTTGGAACAAAATGATTTCTGGGTGAACTAACCCTTTAAAGACGGTGCATTTGATTCGCTGGAATACACTAATGATCAGGTTTTAAAACAAAGTTTTACAGACAGGGCTTAGATTAAGCCAAACCTAAAATTTTACAGACAGGGCTTAGATTAAGCCAGGAGTAGGCCTAATTTAAATCAGGACATTTAACTAGCCTTTTTAATAGAGATGCACAATATATTGGCTACCATATTGGTATTGTGTCGGTATGTTAATTTGTAATGTTATCTGCCTTTTGAATTGCTTGAAATATGACTGGAATACCTTTAAAACAAGGAAAATCCATTTAAGTGCAAGTCTGTATAGGCTACCTAAAATTATGAGAACATTATAATTGTGTGCTTTGGACACAACTTTTAATGGTAAGACTTTTGTTTTAGTAGGCTCTTGAAAAAATAAAGTAATTTAGATTTATTGGCCGATATATTTATTTATTTATTATATTTATTTAACAGGGACAGTGTATGGCATGCAGCCATACCAGAATTAGCTACAAGCTAAATTTCATCTGTAGTCCCTGGTTATCGGTTATATATCGGTTATCAGCTTTATAAAATATAGTTATCGGCCAAAAGTTTTATATGGGTGCATCCCTACTTTTTAAACATGCTTTAGAAAAAACATTACTAGTGTGCATCTTGAGACAACTATGGTACTAATATATCTTAAGATGTCAGTCTAAATTGCTTTCTGGTTGGAATTATAGTCTGAAGCTTAAAAATATGGTATGGATGATTTAAATTTGTGGCACCTGCAGACCCTTTTTGCCTGTTCAGTAGCTTATAAGGGGGGACAGTGTGGTGCCAATAGTAACAGTGGAGCTGCTAAACGGATAACAACCGGATCATGTTAGTTGGCTGGTTGTACTGCAAAGCTCTGTCAAACTTCATTCATTGCACTGTTTACTGAATCCGGAGAGGTTCTCTGCATATGTTAACTTGGACTGCCCAAAATCTGCAGACTGGCTCTGATTTTTGGCAGCTACCATCGACTCGTCCAGACTGCAAATCTGGGAAAAAGTTGTGTTTTCTAGCCTTAAAATCTGCTCAAAATAGCAAACATGTGAAATGTCCTCAGATTAAATGGAATCCTAGTCTGAAGCTAATAAAAGGATGTGCTTATCAAATTTCCCAAAATCAGACTAGATGACTTCCTGAGTGCAAACCGGGGAAAAGGTTGTGTAGTGTTTCAACCTTAAAAGGATAGTTCACTTAAATGGTCATTTACTCTCCCTCAAGTTGTTTCAAACCTGTATGAATTTCTTTCTTATGCTGAACACAAAATATATTTGAAGAATGGAGTGGGATATGGACCCCATTGCCCATCATTTGTTTAGTTTCCAATATTCTTCTAAATATAATCTTGTGTTAAGCAGAAGAGAAATTCATACAGGAGAGTAAATGATTTATTTTCCGATTAACTGTTCCTTTTAGTGGATTTTAATGTTGGCTTATCCTGAATGTGTAGGTT